AATGCAGACTGTTATAGTGTTCAGTACACATAGTGTACATGGATAGATGATCATATACCTAGACAGTGTGGAATAGCAGAAAAGCAATCCAAGTTCATTTGTGTGTTAGTTTTTCAAGCAGTGTTTGAGATGGTTAAGTAGTGTGTTAACACAACTTAAGACACAGGTTCTCGTTCCATTAACTTACTGTTAGAAGGCAGACTGGTAAGATAAAACAGTATTTTTTACAGTGCAGAGAACCAACTGTGCTCTAGCTAATCTGGTAACAGATTCATAGCAGAAAATATTTGATTTATTAAAAATAAAAAAAAATCATTAAAGATGTCTGAGTCAATAATGGCCTTTAGGAGGGCTGCAGAAAGAGATTTATAGTCCTGTGGAGTGAAACACTGACTATTCTCGTATTTCAATATCTACCTTTGTGTATCATTTGGATATTTCGGGTTTAAATAGCCTGCAGCCACTGTAGCCTTCAGTGTGACTTACAGTTGCAGGTGACTCTCTTTGCTTTTGCTGTCTGACAGGCAAGACACAAACGGTTGATCAGTAGTTCATAGTTATTAAGGACTGCAAACCTGCTCAGTTTTCAGTATTGTTTCTCATTCTGCACACCTGCTTGGAGTGTTGGGGTGTTTTCTGGAAGTGTTTAAGTACCTAGCTGCCACAATGCATAGTAGAAGCTGTTTTCGAAAATAAAAATAATGGAGATCACAAATAAATAAGTGAATATCTCAGGCTGTGGTGGGTCAATTTGAGCTATTCTTGTATGATTCATCATCTGGAAGCCTAAATTTTGGAGTTGTATCAGTCAGAGCAGGGGTGAATCATCCTTTTAACACTATCTTACCTAACATATGGTCAGCGATACATTTAGAGACCTTCGCTTTGTCCACTTTAACTCATTAAAATCTGCCCCCAGAGTATGCATGTCTACATTAGGCCTAGCCAAATGGAATTGAAGGTTTCTGTGTACTACTGTGTTTTTTAACATTACATACGAAAAAGAAGTGCAGGGCTGCTTTTATCTGCCTTGTTGTGTCATATTCTTCACTTTTCAAAATAAAGGCAACAGCTTTGATAAATTAATCCCTTAAATGTCCAGAAAAGTTATATTACACACTTCTTTAACCTAAGAATAGCTCAACCAATTTGCATTGAATTTACTGTAGTTACTGAATAGTAGTGAAATTTATGTATATAGCGCTTTTTACAACACGCACTGTCACAAAGCAGCTTTACAGAAAAGTCCAGGTCCAAGCCCCCATGAGCAAGCCAGTAATGACAGTGGCAAGGAAAAACTCTCTAAAAGCAAGAGGAAGAAACCTTGAGAGGCCCTGAGACTCAAAAGAGGAACCCATCCTCCTCTGGTCCACATAGATAGTAAACAATAACAAAAGAGCAAAATAAGCAGAGAAAAGGTTTTAACATTAGTATGAAATATTAAAATACAGAAAAGGGGAAAAGCAGGTGAAGCACTGGTTCTGATTAAATAGTTAGAGTCTGTGCAGCAGCAGCATCAGGAGGGTCAGTTCATGCAGGTGAGATTTGCACAGCAATAATAAGCTTTAGTATGTAATTAACCTGGGATTTTAACTGGTTAACTCAGCAATACATTTTATTTTTACTTTTTAACTTATTTAAATCAACTCCAAGATAAGTCTTGTGCATATCTATGTTATACATAGTAAAATATATCAGCTTGTAGAACTGGAGTTTTCTGTTCTCCTGTGTTTTCTAACACTGTGTACTGTAAAAGAAGCACAAGACTGCCCTTTATTGTTGGATGTACCGCAGTTTCTTTGAGTTTCTGATAGAGTGCGCACACATTCAGAATGGAATTCAGATTGTAGATTCAGGGTGTATTATTGATTTGTTTCATCATAATAAAAGGCAAATGAAGTGTGAAGTACATTCCTCTGCATTTGCTTTCTTGCTCAAAATTATAATTTGTGACATAAGCAAGACAAAAATGTACAAATCTCTGACTGTTCTTTACATATCAAAATAAACGTGATACCATTTCATTTCAGCACATTTCTCACAAAAAGGTACAAACTGTGCTTTTTTGGGTACAAACACAGTCCACAGTCACTGGGGCAGTACCCCCAGATTATGTTTTCAGCACCTTAATTCAGTGAACATAATTGTACCATATTCCGTTAAATTTTGTGTTGTTTTTTTTTCTGACTTGACTCTTTTTATTTAATATTTCTATTTTAAAAAGTAAGGTTTTGAAAAGGTACTAATATACACCTTTTGCCTGTGAAATGTATCTTTTAAACTCATTTCAGGTATTGTTGGACCTTAAGGGTCTTAATATACATTTAATGATACATTTACATCGTTTGTACCATGGGAGACAAAAAAATGGACCAGCATTATACTCAAATTTTTCTGACAGTGGATGAAAAGACAGAAATATCTGCTTTTTGTCTTAACATAAAAGGATTAATTGCTGTCTTAAGAGATTCTGCTAATCGTGGATACAACATGCTTTTGAGGAAAAGTGTTGACTTGGCATGTCTCAATAATTTCTCTAGTGTCTTGTAGCTGGTAAATTGGCATCTACGAACTGTTCTTTCAGGACATTGGCACTAAGAATTTTATGAGCACCACAAAAACTCTAAGCTGGAGCCAAAGTGAAAGTGCGCAGTACTTCTTAGTGAATGTTTCCACAGTAAATATTTAAACAAAAGAAAATGCATGTATATTTTTAAAAACAGGCATATCACTTAACCAGTTTTACATACTTGTCAGTAACGTTTGAAGAGCTGGTTGGGATGACCCACAGATTAATTAACTACTTTCAGCTTGTGAGTCTCTCAAAATGTTCAATCACGTACACGTAATTTGTGATGACCCATGAGTATGAAGTATAAAAAGCCTGTGATGAATTCATTATGAGCTATTGTCATCTAGTGTGCAGTAAACTGTGAGAAAATTCCTTTCAAGTGGCAGTCATTAGGATAGTGTTTCTCAAGCGTGTCCTTGGGGCTTAGTGAACGGTCTACATCATTACTCTAACGTAGCCTTAACACACTAGAACCAAGCCATTAAAACATTGAATACCTGGTACAGGTGTACTGGGAGCTACTTTACAGCAAAAATCTGCACTTGTTGGGTGGCCCTGAGGATAAGATTAAGGAACACTGCATTAGGACACTGTTCCCAATTCTGTTTGTGACTGTGGTTTGCTGTATTTTCTGACTACACAATTATATAATTAACTAGTTACGTAGTGAGTTCGATATACATTTGATTAACATTGTGCATTGTGTAAAACATTGTGTAAAAGGTTTAAGTATGCACTTCTGTCCTTTTTCCATGTTTCAGTATAAAAAATGTTTTTTTGTCCCACTTTATATTCAGCGTCTCTAATAACTGTGTTATTACACAACAACAATACATGCAACAACAATGTAACTTCTGATGTATTCACTGTTTCAGGTGGATTATAGTAGTGCATCTTACATAAATACATCAGATTTAGTTTTTATTCATGTAATGACACAATTGCATCTTGATAGTTGCAACAGCATATTTTCTCTTATGTAATTCCAAATGTGTAATCTGGTGAGGGTAATTACATTTCTGTGACCTGTTATTTTTCTAGCAAGGAAAACATAATATGGCTATATGTTAGAAAAGCTAGCATTTCTTGTGCAGATTCAGTGTAAGTACAGTGTACATAAGTACTGTAGGTAATTACATCCCTGCTGCAATCAGAAAGGCCATGTTGGGGAGAAATATTCTATTACATATGTGTTATTACATAAGAGAAAAGATGACCTTACAACACAAGATACACTTGTGTAATTACATGAGTAAAAACTGAAGTTGAGACATTTGAATTTACCTAAGCTGTACTACTGTAATCCATCTGTAACAGTAAATACATCACCAGTAGTTACACAGTTGTTGTATGTATTGTTAATGTGTAAATACACATTATTACTTAATTATTCTAATTACTTAATGATTGTTTTAGACACTTCAGAAATATAGATTTGAACCTGTTAATACAGAATGTAAATCAAATGCAAATTGAACTCATTACATACCTATGTAGTTAATTATTTAATTATGTAATTAAATTTTAAGAAGACAGCAAAATGATGATAAGTCTAGACTCATAAGGGTGAAATATTATGCTGGAATTCAAAACAGTGTCCTAATGCAGTGAATTAACATAAGCTGTACTACTGTAATACATCCGTAACAGTGAATACCTCACCAGTAGTTACATTGTTATGGCATGTATTGTTAATGCATAATTACATAGTTATTAGGGACACAATTTAAAGTGAGACCTCTTCTTTACATTGATTCTTCCTGCCCTCAAAACAAGTAATCATAATTACATGATAATTATGCACATATATGATCTATGCCATGTAATTATTTAATATTACTCCAAACACAAGCTTTAGAAAGAGAATAATACTGTTATTTTTAGCAAGCCATACTTAATGTCTGATTTCCAAGCCTGGTAAGCTCTTTTAAATGTTAATATTGAGCCCTGAATACCAGAAGAATGTCACATAATCTAAAGGTTATTTTCTGTTAATCCTTTAAGGCTGTCGCACAAAACGTAGCTATTTCTGCCATTTAATATGCTCTATTTTTGTTGCACTTAAGTCATAGACTTTTACTTAGTTTGTGTCACAAATGAAATGTGACTCATTAAATGTGAGTCACCCATCAGACATGTTTTACCTTTAGTCTGAATAAACAAAACAATAAGTGCTTGCCAAGCTAAAATGCACTCTAAAAGAGCTTGCTCACAGTAGCATGTAGAAAGCTCACATTCTACACATTTGTCTCTGGCCAACATGAACTTGCTCCTGCTGTTACTCCTCTAGCAGCAGATTTATATGAGTTTAACAATCCATCAAATTCTCAGACTAGATCATTGGCGAGATGTTCGGTGATGGTGGTTTTGGAAGGTTTGGAGCACCAGGGCACACATTTGCAAACTGCTCTCTGCCTTTCGCTCTGAGCTGCAGGGGGAGACTAAAATCCTGAAGCTGAAGAATCTGAGGCCCAAGGACTACGCCAACTACAGCTGCATCGCCTCTGTACGCAACGTGTGCGGCATCCCTGACCGCAGGGTCATCTTCAGACTGACCAACAAAACAGGTCACACACAACAACTTTCACTATAAGATGCTGCGTGTATTTTTATACATTTCATATATCAACCTTGGTCCTGGAGTACCCCCGCACTGCACAGTATGCTGTTCTCCTTGCTCTAACGCACCTGATCCAACAAATTACTTAATTAATAAACCTTTTCAGAGCTGAATTAAATAGGTTAGAGCAGTCAAAGCAATAAAATATGCAAGGGAGTGGCATTCCAGGACCAAGATTTGAAACCAAGCACCAAAGCAATTGTTTGGGCAAATGAATGTGCAATAGGTCATGCATCATTGACATAATGGTATATAGGCTACTTTCACATATAGTTTGTTTTCTAAACTCCGCTTTGAGACATGAAAACAGAAACACATCAATTAGCCAGTAATAGAAGTCAGTCAATAATAGCTAGCTTGAGCTTTATGTTTGTATTCTTTTCACAGTTAAACAAATTCATTACTCTCATCCTGCCTATTCCTGTGCAGACAGCTGTGACTTTTTTCATTAGCCATAATGGAAGGGCACTACAAAAACATAGCCTTTTACAATGCAGCTGAGAGCATCGGAAAAGCATGTTCAAATACATCCGACAATACACGCAGGTGTGACAAATGCACTACATTGTTTGCATCCAACAAAAGATTCAAAGCAGACTAACTTCATGCAGGGATTATGCACGGAATCCATTTACATTTGCAATCACATTTGCTGGACCTTTGAGAATTCATTATTTGTACCAGTTGGCAGTAAAAAGCAACAAAATAAGTGCATTTTTTATATGTGGTTAAATGAAGCTTTGGAATTATATTAAGGGTGTTAAAGCATCTGCATTTGAGGATGCTGACTGAGCTGCTCATCTTCCTCTTGCTCTGCAGCCTCCCCGTCCATCAAGCTGCTAGTAGAAGACCCAATCGTGGTGAACCCTGGGCAGACGGTATCTTTGGTGTGTATAGCCACAGGTGGCGAGCCCCCTCCTACCCTTACATGGAGCAGCACCTCGGAGAAGCTCCCCGAGAAGAGTGTAGTGAAGGACGGCACACTCACACTGCCGGCCATCACTTCCGAGGACGCCGGTGTCTACAGTTGCATCGCCAGCAACAACGTAGGCAATCCAGCCAAGAAGTCTACCACAATCATCGTACGAGGTATACATCTCAGTTAACCCTACATTTCAACTCAGAAGACACCAATCAGTCTTACAAATACGAGAGGACGAAGTTAAAAAACACTAATAATTATCAGGCTATCATGCTATACTGTAAATACAGCCTAACTAACCTCAGGCTAATACCAGGCTAATGTCAAGGCATTTCTTTAACCAAGGTCTAGAATTATTACTGTTCTGATATGATATTTAAATTTAATTCCAATGGCAAAACTGCTATGCAAGCAGGGAGTCAGTCATAATGAGCCCCAAATTTATTGGGTTCCCTAATTAGATACTGAGACCATTACTCAAACGTACTCACAGAAAGATCTGTTTTCTAAACAACAATACATAGACAGGTCTTTGTCTATTTATCTCCCTCTTATTCTTCATTTTTGGGGGGATGTTTTCAAATTTTCTCCCCTATTTTAGTTGTTTCCAGTTCCACCCACTAGTTAGAACTTCCCCAATCACATGATGCCACCAGCGCTAGGAGGCTAAAGGCAAACACCAGCTTCCTCCAAATCATGTGAAGCGCCACCGCATCTTTTCAAACTGTCGCTAAAGCAATGTTATTGGACAGCTGAAAGTGCTTGGAGGAGGATGCTAACTGCCAATTCTGTTACATCAGCTAACATATGCCTGCGCTGGCTATCATAGCACTGAGTGATGGGGTGGAAAGGGAGGGCCATCCTACCCACCCAAAGAGAGTGAGGCTAATTATGCACTCTTTGATTCCCGGCCATGGATGGCTGTAGCATCACAGGAGATCGGTGTCCTGATGGTAGAGCCAAATCAAAATTTAATGCACATTTTAATGCACAATTACTGTTTATTTGCCAAATTTAATATATTGGAGATGTACAAATGTGACTTGTGGAAAATTTATGGCACATTTTATGTTGCATGTTTTGTTTTTCCCAGTATGTTTAAAGCAAATAAATAGAAACTGTGCATTAAATTAGAAGAAATTGTTTAAGTGTCTTCCCTGTAGAGGATGTGTGAATGTATTTTCACATAGAAAATCAACAAAATGTAAAAAGTTAAAACTTTGCATACAACTGTATGCTTAAAATCTTAAATAGGTAGTCTACATTAAACATTTAGGCTTGCATTAGATTATTATACTGTCATTTTTTTCATTAAAAGTAATTTTTGTATGGGGGAGGTGAGGGGCATTCTCTTTTTTTGCATTGAGGCCCACACGATCCTAGTTACTCCACTATACAATTCTACAACTACATAGTTAATTTTAAAATTAAAAACATAATTAATTACATGTACATTTGAAATATATTTCACATAAGCAGGTTCAAATCCGTGCAAAGGTGTTTTTTTTCTGCAAAAAAAGGCCATATTTAAATCAAGATAAAATATCTCCTTTTCTACTTCAAGCACAAATATGGCATCGGTTCATATTCTGTGCTTTCAAGCAGAGTTCTCTGCTTATCTTAATGAGCTACAAGTGAGGTATAATTCTAATAAAAATGTTGCACAATGATATTGTCAGTCAGAATTATGGGTTAACTATTGATCTCAAATCATAGGACACTCATCAAACACTGATAATTATGATAAACTTTTTCTGTTTTGTGAATATGGCATGTCACCTCAGGCTAACAGTAGGCAAATGTCATGGCATTTCTTTAACCCTTAGAAATCTAAATTTACTACAGTTGTTTTGCTGTGTTACATGAATATAATGACATAGTGCAGTTACATAACTAATCATGTTAACATTCTGTTTACATTCTGTATCAACATGTTTGTGTGTGCACGTTTTAATTTTCCCATTTATGTTGATGTTCAGAATTGACAGAAACAGAGTGAAACATGTGAAGTGTATTGTTTGAATGTTCAGAATCTGCATTTTTCACAGAATTTCCCCCCAACAGTCTTAATGAGCTTCGAGTGAGAAATAATATCCAATTAGGACATACTATTCTAGTTGCTAATGACAACCATGGCTTCTAATGTTGAACTCTGGCTCTTAGTTAAAAAGATACCCATCCCACTTAGAGATAAAATAAGAAAATGTTGAAAAACACACACACACAAAAAAAATAAATAAATATATGACGAATGAAGTGAATACAGCCCTGTTGCCTCCTGTTACCTTAGGCTAATACCAGCTTAATATCAGGCCTTTCTTTACGTTCTTCTTCTTTTGTACTATAACTAACACGTCCTATTTTATCTCATCCAGAGACTGCAGGAAGAAAAGTGCTATTGTAAGCTAGCTGAGCCTCCATGTTACTGCCATAGTGTGCTGACCCCACTAATCACTACCACTGTAGTTTTTGCTCACTCAAGCAAAGTTTTCATTCAGAGCTGTAAAAAAGCTTCAGAATAAGGGCAGTACAGTCTCATTCTTTATTGTATCATTAAGGAACGAGTCATGAACGATGCTTGGAGCACTTTACAGCTGTGAACAAACTGTTACGTCAAATTAAACCTCACTGTTTCATTTTATAGACATTTATAGAGGATATCAAATACCTAAAAACAAGATCCATCACAGAGCACCAGGTTTGAAATACAGTTTTAAATGAGCTCAGCTGTCAATTGTTTAGCTCATATGGTAAATGTACAGGTTCAGTTATTGTTAGTGCATTAATATTTCATGCAATAAAAAGGCAAAAATGTTTTCTCAGAGGGTGCATTTATAGTATAAGAGATTAAATTGTGGTTTTGAGTGCTTATCAGCTAAACTATGACCAGAACTACCAGTTATGTATTAAATTTCGTCGTATTACACTATATTTGACTACTTCACTCATTCATTATTCCTTTAAGCTATGAAAAGTTTACCATTTAATGCTATTCCTGTGCCCTGACACACTACTCAATCTGTAGCTCAGGTAGTCAAAGCGATTGGATTACTGTGGTACTCTGCTGAGATTGTCAGTCAGAATGACTATCAAATCTTGCATAAAATAAGTGAATGGAAGGTCATATGTGGCACCAGGGATTACACTGCATCTTAGTATGTGATATGCATACCACATTCTGTACCATAGTTTTCATTTGCCTGGGAAGGGCAAAGCCTGTGGCATATTACTGTGTAAGTACTTATTAAATGGCCAATTACAGCAATTAAGTGAAGGCAGTCAGGCTAATCACTAAACTGGGAACTTCTGCCATTAGTCAAGAAGTAGTGTATGAATCTCCTCACGCAAGGTAGGGAAGAAACCCTAAGCAGCCCTTACTGCTTAATGCTAGCAGCAAGCAATTCTAGGCTGACAAGGCCTATGCTGGAGAACAGATGTAATAAGCCTTTTGCACCAGTTTAATGTACACATAGATGCATTCTCCCAGTGTAACTTACTTAACAGGAAGGTTTAAATCTCCCTCAAACACATGCAATGTGCAAATCTTAGGAAGACTGCACAAAATGGGTGAACACTGGAAGTATAGCTGCTTACACATTCTATTTGATTAATCACAGTGGCTAGTTTTGCATAGAATTTTCTCCACCTCTTAAAGCGACTGCAATGGGAAATGTAACCATCTGTTGTAAACATATCCACTGGCCTCCTACAGTGGTACTGCAGTAGTTTACCTGCTATATAAGCACCTAGCAGTACAGATTTGTTGAGCGCTGTAGGGATTCCTAATAATTGCATGATATATTTGCATAATGCCTACTGGGTATTGTGGTGAGAGTACATTGATGGATGAAAACACAAAAACAACACTAAATAGTAAATTTGTCAAACTGATGAGGCTGACGGATGCAGTGCTGCATTACAGAATACAACATAACATGCTAGTTTTAGGCCGGAATGCCTCTTTAATAATAAATGTAAATTGGTGGTAGTGTTGTTTAACTTTTTTTTTCTGCAGTCATGAATATTTTATAAGCCTTAAAGATGTGCTAAAAGAATATTCACCAACAAAATAACACTATTTCAGATTAGCCAGATTAACAATAATAACTTTTATAATAATGAAATTATTTTACAGCACAGCACAGCAGTCTTAATAAATAAAAAAAAACTGCAATCCACGTTGTTGTTTCACAAATTCTGTTTTTTAGGGTCCAATACAGTGTTCTGTTGGTATAGAACAGCTATTACTGCTGCTGTGTCATTGTCACTTAACTTACATGTTCGCTTTGCTTCTGAGCAGTGCATCCATTGCATCTCTGCAACTCACAAGAAAAACATAGTTAGTAGGTGGTCCTATGTAGGGTTGGGTGGTATCCACTTTTTTCGTACCTTCAGACCATCTCCAATTATTACAGCAGTATACAGTACTATCAGGGGCAGGAGTGCGGTTAAAAGCAAAAACAAAAGGCTAAAATGCGTGAAGTGTCTTAACCAAATCACGTCGCAAATGACGTGGCTGGTTTAGGACATCATGGCATTTTAGCATCTGTTAAAAGAAACACTGTGCTAGTTTTTGTTTGATGTTGATAGACCAAGTAAAAACAGAGATAGGACCATATGAATTTGATATAAAAATCATATTTATGCATACATAAAAGTATGCAAAATGAGATGGGGCTGGCATTGAATTTATCCTAATATCTTTCATTGTTTGTCTTTTTTTACATATGAAAAAACAGAAAAAAGTCTGAATCTACTGATGTTTTTTTAAAATCTGATTTTATATGTTTTATGTGGGGGTTTTTGGGTCCAATATACTGATATAGTATGTCAAAGTGAAAAAAGTCAGGTCATACAAATCATGTTGTGCAGAAAAGAAGATATCAAACATTGGCATGATGAACATTTTCCAGTGTGATATGTAATCAAAAGTATTCAAAAACAGCCAAAATAGCCCGACTCACAAGGATTAAATTGCTTTTTTGCCATCTCTTTTCAAAGATAATTAAATTTAAAAAGTTGCATTTGCTATCATGGTCACCAATTAACCACAATGACCAAATGTTAAACGATGCAACTAGCTAGGAGAGAGGAGCAGAGTAGCTTAGCTAGCATGAAAACCGTTCTACTCAGCACAGAACAGATTTGATTCTGACTAACTGAAGCT